CAGGTGATCCGCCCTCCTCAGCCTCCCAAAGTGCTGGGATTACAGGCGTGAGCCACTGTGCCTGGCCTATTTATTTTTTGAGATGACTCTCTCTCTTGTCACCCAGGCTGAAGTGCAATAGTGCCATTTTGGCTTACTGCAAACTCCGCCTCCCAGGTTCAAGCGATTTCCCTGCCTTGGCCCCTGGGTAGCTGGGATTACAGGCATGTACCAGCACATCTGGCTAATTTTTTTAATTTTTAGTAGAGACAGGGTTTCACCATGTTGGTCAGGCTGGTCTTGAACTCCTGACCTCAGGTGATCCACCTGCCTTGGCCTCCTAAAGTGCTAGGATTACAGGAGTGAGCCACCGCGACTGGCCTCTAACTCTTGACCTCAAGTGAGCTGCCTGACTTGGCCTCTCAAAGTGCTATGATTATAGGCATGAGCCATTGCAACTGGCCAGAGGTGCCCTCTTGGACACAGGTGTGGAGGCTGGGGTGCAGACCTGGGACTATTTTGGGAATAGGGAGAATCTGGGCTGATGGTGCCAGATGGTAGGGAGTGGGGATGGCAAAGGCAGCCCAGGACTTGTGGAATTAACTGTGTAATCCCAGAAAGATGGCTGCACAGCTTACCCATGTTTCTTGTTCCTTCTCTCTCTGTAGCTTGGGCTCCCTGGGCTCTGGAGGGTTTATGCCTTTCGGTTATGAAGGGATCCTCCGTGGAGCTGCCACGTGTTTCTTTGCGTTTGTGGGTTTTGATAGCATCGCCACCACAGGTAACATGGTCATTCTGGCTCATCGAGGGTTTGGGCACAGTTGGGGCTGCTGCTGGGCACAGGTTTCGTTAAAGGCTACCCTGCTGTCAGATGGGTCAGAGGGCAGAGGGTTTTGCGCCCTTGCTTCCGTGCGTTTTCGTGACCCAGTGCACGTACCCGTCCTGCAGGAGAAGAGGCTCTCCACCCCCAGCGCTCCATCCCCTGGGGCATCGTGACCTCCATCTTCATCTGCCTCTTGGCCTATTTTGGTGTCGCGGCGGCACTCACCCTCATGGTGCCCTACTACCTGATACGTTCCGAGAACCCCTTGCCTGAGGCTTTTGTCCACATCGGATGGCCCGCCATCAGATACGCTGTGGCCGTCGGCACCCTTTGTGCCCTGTCCTCCAGGTCAGTGCTGGACGCCCTCTTCCTGTCTGCTGTCGGGTTCTCGGGTAAAGGGAGGAGATGCTGGAGGCGATGGAGCAGAGGCCCCGGTCCCTCCTGCTTCCTGAGTCCCCAGGCATGTTCCCGTTGTCTCCTGCATGCAGCCTCCTGGGTGCCATGTTCCCCATGCCTCGCGTGCTCTACTCAATGGCTGAGGATGGGCTCCTTTTCCGAGGACTTGCCCGGATCCACGCCCGCACCAGCACCCCCGTGGTGGCCACCGTCGTTTCTGGGACTGTTGCAGGTGAAGGCCCCGATTCCAGGATGTCTTTCCTCCATTTTCTGCTAGTTACTTCCTCATCCTCCCACAGTGCCCATCCATTGTTTTTTTGCTTTTATTATTATTCATTATTTTTATTTTTTGACATGGAGTCTCCCTCTGTAGCCCAGGCTGGAGTGTAGTGGTGTAATCTGGGCTCACTGCAACCTCCAATTCCTGGGTTCAAGCAATTCTCCTGCCTCAGCCTCCTGAGTAGCTGTCCCCATGGCCGGCTACTTTTTGTATTTTTAGTAGAGATGGGGTTTCACCATATTGGCCTGGTTGGTCTCAAACTCCTGACCTTGTGATCCACTGGCCTCGGCCTCCCAAAGTGCTGGATTACAGGCGTGACCTACCATGTCCAGCCTATTTGTTCATTAAAAAAAAAATGTGGCCGGGCACTGTGGATCAGGAGATCAAGACCATCCTGGGTAACAGAATGAAACCCCATCTCTACTAAAAAAAAATTAGCCAGGCCTGGTGGCATGCGCCTGTAGTCCCAGCTACTTCGTAGACTGAGGCAGAAGAATCACTTTAACTCAGGAGGTGGAGGTTGCAGTGAGCCAAGATCATGCCATTGCACTCCAGCCTGGGTGACAGAGTGAGACTCTGTCTCAAAAATATTAAAAAATAAATAAATAATTTTAAAAAATGTTTGGCCATTACAAAAGTTGATTTAATCAAAAGTTTAACAGGAAAATGGGACTGGGCTCAGTGGCTCATGCTTGTAATCCCAGCACTTTGTGGGGCTGAGGTGGGAGGATCACTTGAGCCCAGGAGTTTAAAACCTGGGCCACACAAGGAGACCTTCATTTCAACAACAAATTAGCCGGGCATGCTGGCATGTGCCTGTAGCCCCAGCTACTGGGGAGGCTGGGGTGCAAGGAAGGCTTCAGCCCAGCAGGTTGAGGCTACAGTGAGCAGCAATCATGCCATTGCACTCCAGCCTGGGTGACAGAGCAAGACCCTGTCTCAAAATAAAATAAAATAAAAAATAGAAAATGGGGCAACATGCAGTGGCTCATGCCTGTAATCCCTGCACTTTGGGAGGCCAAGGCAGGGGGATTGCTTAAGCCCAGAAGTTTGAGATCAGCCTGGGCAACATAGCCAGACTCTGAGACTATTTGTTTTCCTCTGCAAAGAAAATTTTAAAAATGAACTGGGTGTGGTGGTACACCTGTAGTCCCAGCTACTTGGGAGCTGAGGTGGGAGGGTAGCTGGAGCACAGCAGTTAGGGCTGCAGTGAGGTATGATGATTCCTGTTTCTAAAAAAAAAAAAAAATTTTAAGGAAAATGTATATAATCTGACTTTTTTTGTTGAGACAGGATCTCACTGTCACCCATGCCAGAGCACAGTGGCACCACACCCAGCTAATATTTAAATTTTGTACAGGTGGGGTTCTTACTGTGTTGCCCAGGCTGATATGGAACCCATGGGCTCAAGAAATCTACCCGCCTTGGCCTCCCTAAGTGCTGAGATTACAGGCCTGAGCCCCCGTACCTGGCTACATTCCTGTTATTAAATTAGCCCAATAATTGTACATATTCATGGAGTAGTGTGAGATTTTCATACATGTATACAAGATGTAATGATCAAATCAAGGTAACACCATAACCACTTCAAACATTGGTCATTTCCTTGCATTGGGAACACTGAAAGCCTATTTATCCAGCTCTTTTTTTTTACTTTTTGGAGACAGACTCTTGCTCAGTGGCCCCTGCTGGAATGCAATGACATGATCTCGGCCCACTGCAACCTCCATCTCCCAGATTCATGTGATTCTCCTGCCTAAGCCTCCTGAGTAGCTGGGACTACAGGCATGCACCACCATGCCCAGAAAATTTTTGTATTTTTCGTAGAGACAGAGTTTCTCTATGTTGGTCAGACTAGTCTCGAACTCCTGGCCTCAGGTGATCCGTGACCGCCCCCCCCGGCCTTCCAAAGTGCTTTTCCAGGTCTTATATTAGAAAATATACCACTGGCTGGGCGCAGTGGCTCATGCCTGTAATCCCAGCACTCCATCTCAGAAGAAAAGGAAAAAAAAAATCTATCATCAGTTGCTAATGATAGTCCCCCTCTAGTGCTGTGGAACCCCAGAACACACTGGAACTTACCCTCTTTTGTGCCCTGACTGTAGCAATCATGGCTTTCCTGTTTGAACTCAGCGACCTCGTGAACCTCTCGTCCATCGGGACCCTGCTTGCTTACTCCTTGGTGGCCTTTTCTGTTCTTGTCCTCAGGTGAGACTGGGGTCCTGGGCGCGTGAGGATTGATGGGGTTCCCAGCCCTCTTCTGCCTGCCTCCTGGCCCCTCGGTGCACTGCTACACATACAGGGGTGTGGGGAGTCTGGCCAGCAGCCCCTGCTTATCCACGGGGGGCACGTTCCAAGACCCCCCCAGCACATGCCCAAAACCACAGATAATACCAGTCCCTATATATGATGATTTTCCCATCCATAATTCAGATGCCTAAAGTGACTTAACGTGGCCAGTGGCATTCACAGCATGGAGATACTGGACAAAGGGATGATTCACATCCTGGGCGTGGGGAGCGTGGAATACTGCTACTTGAAGCCGCACACAATTGAAAACTTATTAATTACGGCTGGGCACAGTGGCTCACACCTGTAATCCAGCGATTTGGGAGGCTGAGGAGCATGGATCACTTCAGGTCAGGAGTTGAAGACCATCCTGGCCAACATGGTGAAAGCATGTCTCTACTAAAAATACAAAAATTAGCTGGGCATGGTGGCATACACCTGTAATCCCAGCTACTTGGGAGGCTGAGGCAGGAGATCGCTCCAACCCGGGGGGCAGAGATTTCGGTGAGCCAAGACTGTGCAACCATACTCAGGCCTGGGTGACAAGAGAGAGACTGTCTCAAAAAGAAAAGAAAAGAAAACTTATGAATTACTGCTGGGTACTGCTGGAGTTTTCCATTTTACTCTTTTTGGAGTGTGGTTGACATGGGTAGATGAAACCTTGAATAAGTAGGAGCTACCGTGGGAGTATTAGGCTGATGTTGGATGAACAGGGACCTGGGTTCATCCTTCCCTGCTCTAATTCAGGTACCAGCCAGACCAGGATTTCAGCAAGAACGAGAAGCTGAAGGTGGAATTAGTTGAGATATGTCCTGCACCCAAAGCAAAATCCCCAGAACGTATTTCTGAAGCAGGCATGCCCAGCACTCCGGCAAGTCTCTGGAGCACTGCCAGCACCATCCCCACCCCAAGATCTGGCCGCATTGTCTATGGATGTGCCTTTCTGCTTGGTGAGCACTGGGGTTTCTCTGCAGAGTGTTCTCAACCTGAGAGCACGTGGCAGGGGGTCTGTGGCTTTGGTACTTGAGGACATGGTGGCCCTTCTTGATAGAGGCAGTTTTATGGCAGGGTGTGCTGGCTTATGCCTATAATCCCAGCACTTTGGTAGGCCAAGGTGGGAGGATCACGGGATCAGGAGTTTGAGACCAGCCTGGCCAACGTGGTGAAAGCCTGTCTCTACTAAAAAAAAAAAAAAAAAATTAGGCCAGGCATGGTGGTACATACCCGTATGCCCAGCACTTTGGGAAGCTGAGGGAGTGGGGGGGAGGGTCATGAGGTCAGGAGTTTGAAACCAGCCTGGCCAACATGGTGAAACCCTGTCTTTACTAAAAATAGAAAAAATTAGCCAGGCATGGTGATGGGCACCCCTAATCCCAGCTACTTGGGAGGCTGATCCAGGAGAATGGCTTGAACCCAGGAGACGGAGTTTGCAGTGAACTGAGATTGCAACACTGCATTTCGGCCTGGACAACAGAGCAAAACCATCTTGGGAGAAAAAAATATATATATACAAAAAATTGCCAGGCGTGGTGGTGGCCACCTGTAATCCCACCTACTCAGGAGGCTGAGGCAGGAGAATCGCTTGAACCCGGGAGGCGGAGGTTGCAGTGAGCCGAGATTGTGCCACTGCACTCCAGCCTGGGCAACAAAAGTGAAACTCTGTCTTAAAAAAAAAATTATCTGGGTGTGCTGGCACATGCCTGTGGTCCCACCTAATGAGAAGGCTGGGACGTGTGTGTGTGTGGTTTTGTTGATGGGATGTGGCCTGAGATCTTAACGTATTTAGCTTCTAGAGTTGAACCTGTTCTCCTCAACCTTGACCCTTTCCAGTCACTGTGTTGTCCATGCTGTGCC